TTAAAACCTGTTGGTTTTTTATCTTCAAGGTGCCCTGAACTAGAAACAATTCTTATCTGAATAACTTCCAAGAAGAACCAGAGATACAACAATTAGTTGTTATCGCAATCTTTAATTCCGTTTTTCTCGAAATGAGGTTTTTGGCGTTCTAAACTTTGAAACTCCGTAACTCAGCGAATTTTCAACCAAAAAAGTTCTAAGACCACTCAAAATTCTCCAAATTTTGCCAGGATTACGCCCATATAGATAACTCCAATAGTGCCAAAATGGGCCCTTTTCATGTGGACGTCCACATATATGGGCAATTCCACGTCAGATTTCAGTTCACATTTTAAATTTGGCCAGAACAATTTTTTTTTCATTCTTTAGTGAAAAAAAATGGATACGTATTTTTTTATTTTTTTTTTTTGGTGCCCAAATTTCCGAATTACGAATTTTTGAAATTTTGACTTTTGAAAAGTAGACATTTTTTAAATGGCCTACAACTTGAAAATTATTGAATTTACAAAAATTTCGTTAAGACAAAAAAAGTTCAGTTTGTGTTCAACTTTTAAATGCTGTTAAAAAATTTTTTTTTTTAAATTTTTCTTAAAAAAATAAAAAATTGTTATAAACAAATTAATTTTTTTTAAATTTGGACGTTTAAAAAAAAATTTTTTTTTAAAGAAAAACATAGCTGGCAATGATAAGAATAGTTTGCAAAATGTTTCAGAGTGGTCTTCTTGAATTTGATGGTTAAAATAAATTTTTAATTTTGGAGTGCAAGTTTTACGCGCGCTGCACTGTGCACGTTTTTTGAAATTTTTTGAAAAAAATTAAAATTTTTCAAAATCCATACGATTGATTATTAATTATCGTAAGAAAAGCATACAAAAAATTTGGTAACGAAAAATTATAAAAAATGTAGAATTAGTTGAATTTTTTAAAAACTACTAGTAAACTTTGAACCATTCAAAAATGACCATTTTTAGGGGTATCAACATTTTTTTTACATTTTTTCAGTTACCTGAAATCATATTACACTATAGAAAATTAATAAAAGTAATTTTTAACTGATTTACAATTTTTATTTATTTTTTAAAAAATTTGATTTTTCAAAAAAATTAAAATTTTTGAAAAATACAAAATTTTTGAAAAATACAAAATTTTTGAAAATACATATGATTGATTGTTCAGAATTATGAAATAATTATATATAAAAATCAGCAATGACAATTAATAAAAATTACGAGAGAAATACAAATTTTTATTTTTTGAAAATTTTGATATTTATTTAAAAATTTTTTTTAACTTATTAAATATTTTTAATTTTTCGAAGCCTATTATAATTTAAAATACGAAAACTTGTTAGAAAAATTAATATTAACCACCTATAAACAACAAAAATTTAGATGAGTTGAAATTTCACCGGTCCCTCCCCTTAAGTTAGTAAAACGTGCACAGTGCATCGCGCGTAAAACTTGCACGCCAAAATTAAAAATTTATTTTAACTATCAAATTCAAGAAGACCACTCTGAATTATTCTGTAAACTATTCTTATCATTGCCAGCTATGTTTTTCTTAAAAAAAAAAATTTTTTTAAAACGTCCAAATTTAAAAAAAATTAATTTGTTTATAACAATTTTTTATTTTTTTAAGAAAAATTTTTAAAAAAAAATTTTTTTAACAGCATTTAAAAGTTGAACACAAACTGAACTTTTTTTGTCTTAACGAAATTTTTGTAAATCCAAGAGTTTTCAAGTTGTAGGCCATTTAAAAAATGTCTACTTTTCAAAAGTCAAAAATTCGTAACTCGGAAATTTGGGCACCAAAAAAAAAATAAAAAAATACGTATCCATTTTTTTTCACTGAAGAATGAAAAAAAAATTTTTTGGCCAAATTTAAAATGTGAACTGAAATTTGACGTGGAATTGCCCATATATATATATATATATATATATATATATATATATATATATACACGGAAAAAAAAAGTTCCCAGATATTTCAGGAATTATTTCCTAACTCTTGGATACGTGGTAACAGCTCTGAACTAGCGACGAACATTCAATGGTAATCAATGAATGTTTGAAAGAAATTCGGGAACTGTATTAGAAAAAGCTGTAAATAGTCCAATAGTCTTTTTTTCATTACTTTCTCATGTAAAGTCCATGGCACTGGCCGCAACTGTTTCTGAAATTTTCGGGAACTCGTCAAGGAATCTTGGTGCGCAGAAACTGTGCGCACCAGTCTCAACAAGTCTCACAGTCAGTAAGACTTGCGTGCCTTATATATTTATTTTATGCTGAGGTATTTAACGTTCCTGTTTAGCTCAGATGGATAAGACGCCGGACTTCTATTCCTCGGGTACGCGAGTTCTGTTCCAGCCGCCGTCGATTTTTCTCTCATATGGTTTTTTCTATTTCAGAAACTTAATAAAAAATAAAAATTGTATGTGACCTTCAAGGATAAATGTGTGTGTGTGTGCGGACGTGTCAAGGAGGGGAAGTGGGAGGGGGGAAGCAGAATCCATTTTTTCTTGCATTCGCCTAACTTTTCGATTTTCTTGAACAGTTCCCGACTTTTTCAAGAACAGTTTGCCGAGAAGTGGTGAAATAGTTATAATTTGTAGAGAAATAGTAAATGACATATTTAAACGAGGCAACCTTTAGTTCTCTGTGAACTACCCGCCGTATCCAAGAGTTAAGAACGAAGTTCCCGAATAATCCTCGAACTTTTTTTTTCCGTGTACCCACATAGCACAATAGTATGAGGTAGACCTGAGGTGAACTAAAAACTTCCGCCATGGAGGTAAGGTTACATGTTAGAGTGTGGTAAGTATATATATGATAAGGCTATGGTAACCTTACACGTTAAGGTTGTGATATCCTTACACGTTAAGGTTGAGGTAACCTTACACGTTAAGGTTGAGGTAACGTTACACGTTAAGGTTGAGGTAAGGTTAAGGTAAGGTTGTGATAAGTTTACCAGTTATGGAAAATATTGACAAAATAATTAATAATATAATTAATATATAAATATTAAATTAAAAAGTTAAGTTTGTTACTCTTCTCTATTTTGGAAACCTGACATGAAGCAGAAAATTTTGATAACAAATTTGGGGGGACTGGGATTCGAACCCGGGATCGACGCGCATAAACCTAACATCCTAACTAACTGAGCTAAGTGGAGAACTGATAGCAAGAAAATTAATTTTGCCTTTAAGGAGTTAATCATATTCTTGGTTCACCTTAAAGGTAAAATTGATTTTCCTTCTGACAGTTCTGTACTTAGCTCAATTAGTTAGAATGATTGGTTTATGCGCGTCGATCCCGGGTTCGAATCCCAGTCCCCCCAAATTTGTTTTCAAAATTTTCTGCTTTATGTCAGGTTTCCAAAATAGAGAAGAGTAACAAACTTAACTTTTTAATTTAATATTTATTTATTAATTATATTATTAATTATTTTGTCAATATTTTCCATAACTGGTAAACTTATCACAACCTTACCTTAACCTTACAACTTATTAATTACCTTACCTCAACCTTGACATATAACCTTACCTCAACCTTAACATGTAACGTTACCTCAACCTTAACGTGTAAGGTTACATCAACCTTAACGTGTAAGGTTACCATAGCCTTATCATATATACTTACCACACCCTAACATGTAACCTTACCTCCATGGCGGAAGTTTTTAGTTCACCTTAGGTCTACCACAGCAATATCGTGTAACCTTATGAGCCTTACGATTAGTATTCAACATAACCTTACCTCATACTATTGTGCTATGTGGGTATATATATATTTTTTTTTTAGTGTACATATTGCTGAAAACGTTTAACGAAAAATTTTGTGGACGAAGGAAACATTTTAATATAATATAAGATTTCCACTCATCTGCGAAATTTATCTACCTACTTTTTTATAATTTTCTCCACTGCTTTTCTATTAATATTTTTACTATTTTTTCAAAAATATTTTTTACCCTCTTTCATTTTCTTTTAGTTTTTATTTTTTTCTGAATAAATTTTTCATAATTTTTTTTATTGAAAGTTACAATTTTTTGAAAGGGCAAATTTAATTTTTTAAAATTGTAAACATATATATGGAGGTTGTGAAATTGACAAATTTTGAAAAAAGTGATGTTTGGATAGCTTTAATTATAAATCAAAAAATTTTTGCTTATTATTTAAATTTTAAAACATTGAAAATTAATAAACAAAATGTATGATGACAAAAAATTTTATTGAAACTTCCATACTAATCTAATTCTTTAATTTTGAATTTTCAAAATCCAATAACGAATTCGTAACCAGCGACCCCAAAAACCATCAAGTGACGATTCTCCATTTTGAATTTTGAAAATATATCAACAGATTCGTATTCAGTGACTTCAGAAACCCTTGGGTGTCAGTTTTCATGCGCTTTTATCAAATTTCACCAATTTCGATCCGCCATATTAGACTTTTAGTTAAATTTGAGAAATTTTGAAAAAATATCTTCATATTTCTATCCACCATTTTGGATTTATTTTTTATCCGAACGATCCAACAACGAATTTGTAATCAGTGACTTCAGAAACTCCAAAGTCAATTTTCAATCAGTTTTAACGAATTTTATCAAATTTATCCGTTATATTAGATTTGTCATTTTAAATTTTCAAAATCTAACAACGATCTGCTGTATCGGATCCACTAATTGGAATTTGTAAAATTTGATTTCACAATCGTAGTGAACTAGCGCGAAAATCTTCACGCAGTACTTATTATATATAATAAGAAAAAGAATTTATTATAAAAAAATTTTTTTTATTCAATCGTTAGGAGTAATAATTGATTCAACTTGTCATTATTACTCAATTGCACACCTAATTACAAAGGTGCTGAAAACTGTGTACCTTAACAAAACCGCAACATAGTGTACATTACAAAAAAATTACATTTGAAAAAATACAAAAAACATTATTAATCACAAACAAATGTTTTCTAACTCAAAAAGATTGTATACAATACTAATCTTCATAATTACTTAACATTGAATAACAAAGGGCATAATATTATACAATAATCATTAAATGCATACAGTTTACACATATATATATATATATATATATATATATACAGTATTCAAGTATCTTTTTTTTATTCTTTTTTTATCTCTTTTTTATTTTCCTTACACAAATAAGAAATAAATAATGTTCGATAAATAAATAAACACGCGTTTTAAGTAGATTCTGACTGTTTTGTTTTAAATTCGCAGTCATCAAGTTTTTCTTTGGTCATCTTTAATTTTCCCAGGAAAAAGAAATAGAAAAAAAAATTATTTTCTTGGTTTTTTTTTCTAAATGATGAATCATCGATGAGTCTTGTATTGGAACAATAAACGACTGATGTTGATTTTAAATGATCCTAAAGAAGAGTTGATGATCGAATCTTATGAATAGGTTGACGAACTGGAAGAACTTCCAGATGATGATGATGATGAAGCTGGTGAACCATACGAACTTGCTGAACTACTTCCCGATGAGTAGTAATTGTAGGCCAAATTTTGTGCATCAGCTCCATTGCTTGGCGTCCAGACTCTCGAGTATGGTCCATTATCATTCCAACTGTTCATTGGCTCGTAGCCGGAAGTTGTCGATGGCAATGGTGGAGCTCCATAGACTGGAGCTGGATCCATTGTCATTCCTGGAAAAATTGATTTTCTATGAAAATTCACTGATTGTGGTCAATATATTTATGATAATAATCATAATGATTTAAATGCTTCTTTTGAATCTGATGATCTTAGCTTTAGTAATTGAAATGATTTGAAATGATTTCTTACTAGATGATCCTATTGATCCTAAGTTAGGTTCTTGAATTGACTCTTTTGAAGCTAAAGATTCTTTTGATCATAAATTTAGTTATTAAAACGATCATCGTTAGGTTGATGATCCTAGTGATTCTAAGTTTATTAATTAACGCTATTTTCTACATCACTATTCTGGTGATCCTAAGTTTGATAATTATAACTATCATCTTTGAGCGGATAATCCTAATGATCCGAACTTTAATTATTAATACGATAAACGATTTTAAGTTTGTTGACTATATCGATCATGTTCTACTTGATGGTGCTAATGATACAAATTTTTTTCTCCGATAATGATCCCAATGATCGAAAAGTAATTTTTCTGCCGTTGATCCCAATGATCCTAATGATTTTAAAGTAGCTAAAAAATAATTTTCTCCATGATGATTCTAATGATCCTGAAATAATTAAAATATAAATTTTGCACCGACAATCCTAATCATCTCAAATTAATTAAATAATAATTTTTCTGCTAATGATCCCATTGATCTTAAAGTATGATTAAAAAATGATTCTCCGCTGATGATGTCACTGAATTTTTCTAATTAAAAAACCATCATCGCTGATGCTCCAAATGTTTTTAATGATTCTAAAGTGATTTCCCACTAATGTTCCCAATGATCCTAAGTAATTAATAAATCACTATTTTCCTACCAAAAAGAGATTTCTCACTGATGATCCCAAGTAATTAAAAAATCATCATTTGCTGCCTGATAATCCTACTGAATTCCAATGATCTTCATATAAAGCCACTGTTTTTCTAATGATATAAAATTGAGACAAAAAACGAATCAAAAGTGTTGCAAAGCAACGTTTTGATGCTTTTTTTTGTCTCCATTTGATATCATTAGAAAAACTGTGAGATCACTGAATGATTAAGTCATCGAGTTAAAAATAAAACAAATCAAAACAACTCACCCATTGGTGGAGTCATGCCACCCTTCTTGAAGAATTGAACACCAACGAATACAAGGACAGCCAAAAATGCCAATTTCGAAAGAACCAATGCCTTCATCGCCTTAATTCCAATTATAGCAACGAAAATTGGCATCAATGCTTTCAATTTTAATTTCAAAAGAAGTAAAAATGGCAGCAGCAATTTCTTCTTTAATAAACCACGTGCCTGATTAGTCGCAACTTCATTATCCTTAAATTCAATATCAAGATCAGCGAGACTCTTGCTTGGACGATATTTTAAATTTGCATCAACAAATGGCAAATTAATTCCATAATCAAATGTCTTGAGATATTTCACGGTACGTGATATTATTGCATCATCAATTGAATCCAATGATCTTGCTTCAGTTGTTGTTCCCAATTGATTATCCAAATAACCAAGGAATTCATGTTTAAAGCACGACGTCCACGATTCGGCATTGAGACAATTATTTAATGATGTTGTGAGAAAATCTTGTGATCCTGATGACACGGTCACTAAGGCCAAAAAGCCTGTCACCAAAAAAGTACGCATTTTTGTTGTTGTTTTTTTAATAATCCAAGGTCACGGATAGTAATTTTGAATTTTTATTTTTGAAAAACACTTTTTAACGACTTAGAAACCTAAAATTGAATGAATGATACACAATCGGCGATCGAACTGCGACTGACAGAGGAGTGGCCCGCCCCTTTTATTTAATTTGCCCCCCGCGAATCTATGTTATTCGGTCGCGCATGATGTGAATTAATGATTGAAGGAAAATCATATTTAAATTTCACTCGCGAAATTCGAGCCGGGTGCGAAGGTGTATATCCCAATCATTGTTCGGCATGGCGCATTATAGCATGCATACGGGAAACGGAACTTGTTCATGTTGGTATTTCTCTTTAAAGAACGTCACATTTATAGTTTTATATTTATGCTAATTCATTTTATAGTTAGTTTCACATTTTTTTGTACTAATATGACTTTCAGACTCTTTTCATTTTTTCATTCCTAATTTCTTTTTTTTACTATTATTATTAATTGGAAACAGTTGATGGAGTTATTATTTTCTGATGGAGTTTTATCAACTTCGTTGTTAATTGAAGATAAAATGTGGGTAAATTTTTTATTACATTGAATTAACTTAAATTAAATCTGTGGTTTAAATTCTTAATAATTGAAGTAAACAATAATTGAAAGTTTCATAATAGTAGATAGATACCTATTAATATTCCCACTGATTTTCTTAAAAAATATAAAATAAATATTGATAAAATTAAGGGAAATGTTTCAAATGTAAACGCATAGATCTTTAGTCCAATTAATAGAAAAATTAACTTTAAAATATTATTTTTCATTTAATACAAAGTTTGATATTTTTTGAGAAAAAAAGACAATCAAATACAAATTAATATTGAAAAAAATGAATAAATTCACATTTTTCTATTTAAACATTCATTTTTTTCAATGACAGTATTCGATTGTCTTTTCTTCTCAAAAATTGTCAAACAAATGAAAGTTTGTATAGAAAAATATAGATTTATTAATTTTTTTTAAACGTTAATTTGTGTTCGATTCTCTTTTTTTCTCGAAAAATATCAAACTTAATTTTTATATAATGAAAAATAATATTTAAAAGCAAATTTTTGTACTAATTGAACTAAAGATCCATGTTTCAATAAATAGAATATTATTTTTTATATTTTGACAAGATTTATTTTATATTTTTTAAGAAAACCAGTGGAAATATTAATAATATTAATATATGCGGCATTAATTGAAATTGGCTGGTTCGACATGCCTTTAACACATATTAAAAAAAAAAATTTCTAAACATTAGAACAAAATTGAACAATATTAACACATGCCTCTACGTAATTGAAATTTTAAATGGTAAATGCATAAAAAAATTTATTTTATATTTATACATATTATCCTGTACCCACTTTAAAACTGTCAAGTTTGAGAATTTTTAGTCAATTTTTATGTGCTTGAAAGAATATTAAGTGATTTTCATTAAAAATTACATGTATCAGTTTAAACGTTCAATAATTAAGGCCATAATTTGTATCAACCTGCATACTATTTGAATTTGCGTATTAGTTAAAATCGCTTGAAAATTTCCACTTGGGAGTTTGTAAGGACACTGATTGAAAATTTGTTGTTGAATTTTGAGAATTTAAAATGGCCGATCCAAAATATACAGTAATTGTTGGATGAGCTCAAAGCGCGAAATAATTCTTTTAAAACATATTTTTCAACAATACTTTTTATCTTTTTTTTTAATTAAAAAATTGTCAAATCTACTCTTTTATACCGAATTAGTAGGTTTTGATTAATGAATCTAGGATTGTCATTTTGAATGGTTCATTAAATTTGAATGATTCGTAATTAAATCAATTGCTTACTTGATGACCTTAATTAATCTACATAACTCTTTTGATAAATAACAACAATAATTTGTTTAAACAAATAAAAAATTCATTGTAACATCAAAATATATTGTATATACATATATTGACATAAAACAATTTTACTGTAAAACTTTGATGATTTTATTTTTATTTGTTTGCAATATACAAAATAAACAACCGGGCAATTTTCAGTAGTCTAGTACATACTTTTATAATTGTTATAAATAAACAAGAAGAAATGAAAAAAAAAATTTTATTTTTTTATTTTTCGAAAGTAGATAAGATTTTGTTCAGTGACTTAAAATTGCTATTCGATTGATGCAAATGTCGAGAAGATTTACAACTTTTTTCATTGTTTGGTCACCCCGGGTGACCGCTTCGGAGCGCGAAGGTTAAGCCCAAAAAATAAGTTGAATTCAAGAAAAAACACATTTTAAGAGTGTTGAAATTTTGACTATAGTTAAAAGACGATTTCCACTTTTAAGTATATTTTTTGAATTTATTCTCATCACAATAAGTATTTAAGCCTATTTATAGGTTCCCTGAAGATGTACCTAAAGGTATTTGCTAAATATTTTTAGTCAGTTTTTGTATAGGTATTTGTTGTTAAAGCCAAAAATACACTCTGGGGCTAAATATTAAATAATAGGTGGAGCTAAATGTTAAGTGTATTTTTTCAATGTTTTTTACATTAATCGTGTTTTTCGGGTTTTTATGTTTAAAAATTATTTATTTTACATTTGTCAAGTACGCGGTCAAAAAACAAGACCGCTCACGTGAAATAAACCCAAAATTTTTTTTTTTATTTTGAAAGTTTAATTTATTAACTCTATAACTATTTTAGCTATTGTCAAATAAACACAAATGTTTTATTAACTAAATAACCTTAACTTAAAGCATACTTTAACTTATCCACTACTTAAATTAAAACCTATCAGAAAATAGTTGTAGTAGACTAGAAATAGAATTTAGCCCCATGCTGAGATAAATGTTAAAAAAAAATTTTGAAAAAAGGACAAAACATGTATTTTACGCGAAAATATCAGAAACTTTTTTATTGAAAGTTGTTGAGCACAAGATGCCCTACATTACTGATCTATACATATTTGCATCCAAGCGAATTTATTGTCTAAAAAAAATCATTTGTGCAAAATTTAACATTTAGCCCTAGTCTCCCCTACTTAAAGACTTTGTTTTTACAGTAAAAATCTTAACAATTTAAAATTTTTTTCAACATTTTGAATCAGACATTTTGAAATTTGATATGCTAGGGAATATCTAGCAATGGTTTCGAATTCGGCGTAAAAAAATGAAAAATGAAAAATTATCATCACTTCTAAAAAACACAAAAACCGCTAACAATCATTGAAAATCTTCTTTTACATGCATTATTGACACTTATTTATTTGCCCAGGTAGTAAAAGTATATAAAAAGGATAATAAAAAAGGGAAATAAAAAATGTCAATAAAAACGAAACCACAATTGGATAAACCACAATAGTATAGTAACCTCGTCATTGACATTACTTTCGTCCTTCCTCCTCTTTATTTTTATATGCAACAACGTGTTAGATTCGGTGAAAGTATGTAGATTGAAATTCACCATTTTTTTTCTTTCCTCTTTTTTTCTTCTTTATTATACCCACTTGCCATTCAAACGTGGTCATTTGATTTTAAATTGAAATTTCATTGTTTTAAAAATAAGGGTAAACGTGAAAACATCTTTTGTTATGTTCACTGAATAAACAAATTTGTATATTACCCGTTTGTTATTATTAATTGTTGTTATTTCATTATTTATTATTTTGTTATATTATTTATTTTAAGTCGCCTTGTTATTTATACATAAATTTTTTAGGTAATAGGTACATTTTTATTATTTCTACTTTGAATAGATGTTAATTAGTAATACACTGTAAAAAAAGGGAGTTAAATTTTAACTCCCCCGGGGGTCTATAAAAGTCGCACCCATTGGGGAGTTAATGCCAGGGGAGTTAAATAAAGAGAGTTAAAATTTAACACCCAAATGCTAACTCCCCAAGGAAAAAATAACTCGCGCGGGTGTTGAATGAAGGGAGTTAGAAATTAACTCTCTTTTGGAGTTGATTTTTAACTCGAAAAATTTCACTCCCAACTCCCGAGTCCGTTAACTCCCTAAATTTTTTACAGTGTAATATAAAATAACAAGTTAATTAAAAAACTTTTTCAAATTAATATTGACATTTTATTTTCGAATTGATATTATTATTAATTTTGAGTTATTTGTAATTTTTTATTTCTTATTATTATTTGTTCTTCTTACTTATTATTATTATTATCATCATTATTTCTTCTTTTTATTTGTTATTATTATTTGTTAATATTATTCATAATTATCACTTGTTATATTATTTATTCTTTTTTCTTTATATATTTTTTATTTGTCATTTTTTTATCTACACGAAAAGGCTAGATTCAAAGACGCTAAAGTTGGTTGCCATAGCAACGATATACATATATGAGTATCCTAGTAACGGTTACCATAACAATCGATTAACATGCTTACCATGCCTTAGTTGCGGTTGCTATGGCAACTGATCATAATAACCATCAAATATCATCATAGTAATTGTTGCCATATTAACGATTACTATACTTACAATGGTTACTATGGAAAATAATGCCATAGAAACCGTATCCATGGTTAGTATGGTAAATATTACCATAGAAATCGTGCCTATGGTTATGGTTACCATGGGAACTGTTACCCTAAAATTGTTTCCATAGCAATCGCTTTCTTAGCAATAATTAATTTCTATTAAATCTTTCAAACAATTACAATAATTATCTCAGAAGTTAATTTCTTTTTCAATTATATTTTTTATTAACAACAATCAACTAGGGTAAGTCCGGGGGAGATGGCCATAGTTTCTTTAAAGTACTGTAAAAATTATAAAAAAGCGATCTATGTCTAAACTTTTATTGATAATTAAACATTGAACACTTAACTTTAAAGTAACGAAAAATAAAATAAAATATTTTCATAGGATCAATCTCGAAATTTACATTTTATAAAAAGTGCATTTGGCCATCGCTCCCGGAATGTCCGGGAGAGATGGCCACATGTGTGCGGGAGAGATGGACAATATACTTATAATTTTTTACTTTTAGCTTAAACTTAATTTTTAACCGATCAAATTACTTTTCTCTTATTGTGGTCACATTTTGAACATTTATTATGGGATTCAGTGCAGTTTTCATGTAGCCAAAAATTTTAAATACTGCACTGAATCTAATCTTCAATCAATGTCGTTTGATTGTAACTTTCGACTCAACCTACAAATATATCTCCATCTCTAGTGTTAATTAGATGATTTATTTTGTTCTCAGACATTTTTAATTTGTTTTTCTTTAATTTTTCTCAAGTATCTAACATTAACATAAAAAATTTCACATAAAAGTCATTAATGACCATCTCACTCAAAAATACATGACAAAAGTAAACATCAAAATATTAAGTAAATAAGATAATTTTTCCATTCCTTTTTTGTGTATATCGAAGCGTGGGTTATGGACTATTCAATAAAACTTCAAATTAAAAAATCCGTTAAAAAATAACAATGTAGCAGTAAGAAATCTGAAATTCTCAAATTATTTTGGACACATGCAAAAAAAATGTAGAAGGATTACGCTTACATTTTCATTATTTGTCAACAATTTGTTGTTTACATTTATTAGTAGTCACAAAAGGTTGAAGAATAACTTATAATAAGTGATATTTATTTACAAATTCTGTAAAATATTTGAACTGGCTATCTCTCCCATATGGCCATCTCCCCCGGACTTACCCTATTAATAAAAAAGTAACAATAAGAAACAATAAAACAACAATTATTTCAACAATAATTAAATTTATTGTAAAATTCGTCTTGTACACATGTTCGATTATAATTTATTTTATTTATTTATAAGTTCTAATTTTTGGTAGCAAAAGTATTTTCGGTATGTTCTTTTATCAGTCAGTCGTCCACATAAATGTTTCTTTCTTCTCTCGTGCAAATTCTGTTACAGTTTCAAAACAATTATTTTTCATTTATTTCGTCTTTTTTCTATTTTTTCCTCATTAAAAAAAGTAACTAAAATTACGACAAATAATAATTTATTAAATAATTCATACACACAAAAGAAAAGAAGCTATTTTACAAAAGTTCGAATTTATCTAAAAATAAAAGCCTTATGCTTGCGCATAGCCCGAATAAGCCAAATTTTGCGCATAATCCGATGACATTGCATCATCATTTAATGAACGATATTGTGCCGCCTGATATTCCCATGGTCCATGTGCTGCCAATGGTGCTGAATGACTGTCGGCGGCAATTTTCTTACAAAGTTGGAATATCGCCAAACCTACTGACACGACGAAGCTAAAAAATGACAGTTGCAGCGCATTCCATGCCTTCAGTCCCAATACTCCAATTGCCAATGGAATTAATGTCATCGCCTTGAGTAAAACGAACACGAGAATTGGAATAATGACTTTCTTCAATTTTGATTTACGTGCCTCTTGTTGAATAGCACGATCCTCGCCAAATTTCAAATTGAAACTCAATTCATCGTTGTCAATGTTCCTTGAACTGACTTTAACCGATGACTCAAGTGGTAATTTGAATGTCACATCGTGAGATATTAGATATGATCTCAAATTCTCGAGAAATGAGGGTTCAGCGCGAGCAGACACCTCATCAACTGGATTCGAGTTGCGGGTGACTTCCACTGTTTCCGATAACTAAAAATTTGAGGAGAATTAATTAGTTATGTAACATGGTTGATTTGTTGGTTCTTATTCAATATGATTATTATTCAATAATGATTTTTATTTAATAAAACTGTAATTTTTATTAGAGAAAAGATGTCCTTTTAATTCTTGTGGCTTATTGGCCACAAGAATAAAAAAGGCATCTTTTGTCAATTGTAAATGGCTTAAAATAAAAGAGTATTTATACTATATATATTGTAATTTTTATTTATTAATTATTTTATTTTTATCAAAAGTGACTGGGAGTCTTTATGGTGGGTTGGAGAATATTTTTCCTTGGTTGCGAAAATTTTAAAAATGTTGGTACCAGATTCCATAGCAACGATTGTCTCAGTTTGTAGCCATAACAACCGATACCATAGTAACCACTTTTCTTTAATAGTTACCATATCAACTGAAACCTTTAGATCTGTTATTTTAGCACCGGATATCATAGAAACTGTTTCTGCAACGACGGTTACCATAGCAACCGCTCCTAATAAAGCAGTTTCCATTGCAACTGTAACCATAGCAACCGCTGCTGCTGAAGCAGTTTCCATAGCAACCATTACCGTACGGCAACGGTTACTATGACTACCCTCACCCTAACTACCCTTGCCTAAATGAAAATACACATTTTTGCCACCGTACCTTGAAACTGTCCTTCCGGAAAATTTGATCAAGAAGACTGAGAACTTTGTACTTCATGCAGGCGATTTCGTCGTTCTTTTGCGCACAATCAGCTTTGGTTTGCTCGACAATTGAATCCATGCTTGTACCCTTCCAGAATTCATTTTTAGTTGGCTGGGCTGTTGCCACTAGGAGAATGGAGCACAACACAATAATTAGCTTCATGACGATGGGAAGCCTTTGGAAAAAAGTTTTTAATTCTTTTACTAAACAATCTCGTGTTTGAAGAGAGTTTGTCAAGGACAAACGACAGTTGTGCGACTAATGCCAATATGGGTTGGGCATGTGCTTATTTATACGAGGCCTATTGTTGAATAAAATTATCCTCGCCAACGTTTCTTTTACTTTGTCCCTCTCCCTCCTTTTTTTTAAGTAGTGGACGAATTTTCTTTTCGTTCAGTATGGTCTTCGATTATTGAGGTCTCATTGCGAACATGTCGCGACTTGTTAATGAGAATGAGAGAAAGAACGAGATAGGGTTGAGTGGAAAAATTATGAACTGGTGCGAAGGTTTGATATTGAAAATTAAATCGAAAACATTTGTTTCTTTTTATTTAAAAAATAAATATTGGTGATCATAATTTCCTTTTGAAAATTGAGACATTTGTGATTCCAAAGAATTGGGAAAATAGTTTTAGTCGAAGTTTCTGAATGATGATCAATATTCCGCAGGGCACTTGGAAATTTGTTTTTGAGACAATTAGAATTTTTCCTAACATCTCTTAGTTTTCTAACTATAAATTTCTTTCGAAATCAATTAATTTCTTTTTGATTTGATTCATTTCTTTCTAAACCAATTAATTTTTTTTCGGCTTAATTAATATCTTTGGGGCCGTACACATAATACGTCACGCGGCTAGGGGGAGGGAGGGGGGGGGGTGAACTCATGTGTTACGTCACGATCTTTTAAATTCAAAGATAATAATAAATTATATGTGACAATGTCACTTTTTCTAAATAAAACAAGTTAAGAATGGTTTGAACTATTTAATATCTATTATGTATCTGTTTAACATCTATTGGCATATTATTTATAATATGATAAATAATATCCCGTGTAGAAATATCCCTATTATGGCCATATTAGGGAATGAAACACACGGCCCGACCTGGGCCAGATCGGGGCGACGATCAAATGTGGATTTCCTGATCAGGGCCATATCGGGCCGTGTGTTTCATTCCCTAATATGGAAGGCCCGATCAGTCCCTGATCCGGACCATAGCGAAATTTCTACACGGGATATTCTCTTAATTTGAATCAGTTAAAAATCATGGTTTTAACTGTCAATCAGCAGTGACTGACTTTTTGCTTCTGAATCAGTTAAAAATAACAAAAATTATCCACAAAACACCGAAATTTTTCTAAATATTGTATATTAAAGATTTGCTTGCATAAGTCAAAAAATTTACTTGCAAAGTTTATTTTAAAATTGTGTAAAGATTTAAATTTCTCACTCCAATCAATGTCTATCGTCAAATTTTCTTAAAAATATAGCTTGAAACTTTCCTGAACATTTGAATTGCATTTTCGACTATACTTTCGTGAAAATCTTCCTGAAAATTTAACTTAAATTTTCGGAAAAGTTTCCCGCTAAACATTTATTGAAGTGGGATATTTAAATCTTTACACAATTTTAACTAAACTTTGCATTTAAATATTTCGAAGCTTGCGAGTAAATCTTTAGTAAATTTTTAGGAAAGTTTCGGTGCTATGTAGGTAGTTAAACGTGACTAATTGAATCAATCAAAAACAATTGTATTGAAACATCAGTTATTTTCAACTGATTGTCAGAAAAAAATATTACTATTTGAATTAGTGACTGATTTTTTGCTTCTAAATCAGATATTCTTAACTGATTTAATAATTTAGAGTGTAAGATATAATATACATATATATTGTCCAATGTATAAAATTTACAGTGAAATTTACGTGTGTGACGTGACGTAGGGGGGAGGGGGGATTCAAGATTTGTGACGAAGTGTGACATAGGGGGAGGGAGGGGTTAAAAATGGTCAAAAATCGCGTGACGTATTATGTGTACAGCCCCTTTCTGAATCAATTAATTTTTTTCTAATTAATTAATTTCGGTTTGAATCAATTCATTTCTTTCCTAATGAACTTAATTTTTTCTGAGTCAATTAATTTCCTATCGATTCTTTTTCAAAATTAAAAATTATTTAATATACAGTTTTCTTGAAAGCATCAGTAAACGCACACAGCATCGAAACTTTTCTAAAAGAGGAAATTACTTTGACTGCAATGTTCGGAATCTTTAGTTACGAGGCTATTTAAATTTGAAGTAATTCTTTAAATTTCGACTGTTTTTCAAAGTTTGACGCGAAAGTTGACTGAACATTGCATAAAGTTTAAAATTTCTTCAACTCTCATGCAATGTTCAGTCAACTTTTACGTCAAACATTGAATAACATCGGGAATTTAAAGAAAAACTTCAAGTTTCATGAGCTTTGCACTAAAGATTTCGAAGGTTGCACTGTTGCAGTCAAGCTAATTTCAACTTTCAGGAAATTTTCGGTGCTGTGTGAGCATTAATACTAAAGTGTATCAATATGATACGAAAATGTGGATCAAATAAAAAATTGATGTACATTTTTGTATCAAATTGATGGACTTTAGTTTCAACTTTATACTTTCAAGAAAACTGTGTGATTAATTAACTTTTATAATAATTGTAAGATTGAAATAAATAAACAATTGTACCAACCCTCATCATCATAATATTACTTCATTTATTATACAATACAATTTCTATAATATTTTCTAAACGAAATTGTTTTCATGTGTGAAAGTGATGGATACAGTTTTAGAAATTATTAATGCGGACACATACTTCCGACTTCCGGACGCTATCAATCCGGAATCTGTTGATCCACATTTTTGACCTCTTCTTCGCACATAATTGAATAAGTCATTCTTACATATCAATGAATTCACTTTCCAACAGCAATTACCAGACTATAATTGATAGTTTTTGAACGAATCGTGCAGATAATTTATTAAAAAGTTTAAGATTCTTTTGGTAAAGATTTTTTCAAGTCTTATTCGTCTCTCTTATAAAGTCTTTGCAACTTGAAAGAATCTTTATCTAGTTCGGCTAAGTGCATTAAAATAAAATTGAATTTTGCTATATGTATCAACCATTTTAACCCTTTAACGCCCAAATGTGCTGATTTTTAACTTCGGCTTCAAGCTCATAATATTAAAAGGAAAAAATTATTCAAAATTCTACAAGGACATATCCATACGTTTTTGGGGTCGCTCTTTCGAATGGCATGGTCAAAATTTCCAAAAAGTGACGTTTAACCATTATTTTTTCAAAAATACTCAAAAAATACAAGATTTTGGACTGTAATTTTTTTTTCAAATCCAATTTTAGTTGTCATATTGATTTTTCCAAGTCATCTAAGGTATAAAAAACGTGTTCCCGATAGTTTTAGTTTGAAAATATGCTTTGCGTTTTAAGATTTTCCGTATTTTTTGATTCAAAATGGCGTTTGAAAGTTGACAATTTTCCAAAATTTAACACAGGATGGATACAATTTTCAAAAGTTCATAAAATCGATTGAAATTTGTTACTCGGGGGTTTTTGGGGTCGCTGATAACGAATCTGAAGACAGATTTAAAAAATTCAAAATGGCGGCTTCAATATGGCGGACGATAATATTAAAAATTTATCCTATTGGCTTCAAATTTGTTATAAGGGGGTTTTTGGGGTCGCTGATAACGAATCTGAAGACAGATTTAAAAAATTTAAAATGGCGGACGATAATAATAAAACTTCATATATTGTCTTGAAATTTGTTACTCGGGGGTTTTCGAGGTCGCTGATTACGAATCTAAAGTCATATTTTCAAAATTCAAAATGGCACTTCATATAATCCCTTCTACTTCTACCTGGCGAGTTTCCGCCGAATATAAATCCGACGTAGAGAGATTTGACTGTATATTAACAGCATGTGATTGTTAGGTTCTCAATGGTAATTTTTTCTACCACTTTTCTTTTTAAATATTTAAAACCTTCCGGAAGTTTGAAAATGTTTCCTAGACAAAGTATTTATTTTCATTAATATTTTTAATCTGAAGATCTTTCTGTCTTTCAACATCTTTCTAACGTTCATGTTTACAAATGAGAAATTTTTTTTTTGTTAGCAGTAATGAAAAATTTCTTGAAAAGAATTTTTTTTCTCTGTCAGTTAATTGTTTAGTTTGTTGGTTAGATTCTTAGTTTAGCATCCGTCGAACCCGAGTTCAATACCCAGTCCCCGCGAATTGATTTCTAAAAGTTTTCCATCAATGCTAGGCTCCAAAATGCAACAATAAAGGCATTAAATAATAAAAATAAACAACAAAGAAATTTTTAAATTTAAAAAATAAAAATAAAATAAAATTTTTTTAATTATAGAAAAGGAATTTATCATTCGGTATTAATTACATTAAAGGAGAGATTATTATTAACGTCTTCCGTTAATAAAAGATTTTTTAATTTAAGACATTTTTGAAAAATTGCGATAATCTTGCCGCAATGTAGTTGCAAATTTCTCTGCTCTCTGGTCATTTTACTCTATGTTTGCAGTAATATTTTTTATTTTTTCGTAAGATTGAAAACAGTAGTAGTAAATATCATTGTCAAATAATACATAAAAATTTCATCAATATTGTCAAGCAATATTGCCTAAAGTTTGTCAGAAGATAATTTATTCATTTTAAAGGTAGTCAAATTTTTCAAAGAAAAAAAATCTATTTCCAAAAAAAAATCGAAAAATATAAAAAATCCTTTTCTCTAAATATTCGATAAAATGGTCTTAAAATCGTGAATTATAAAAATAGTTCTTTGTTGTTCATTCTCAATATTAAACTTTACATTAGTGACATTGGCATTGCAATGAAAATCAATAATATTCAAGTCATGTTTTTTAAACTTTCCAATTTGTCTCTCTGACAAGTTGATGATTTTATCGTTTAATTTTACCCTTAAAACCTAAATTACAAGTGACACCACCACTGGAAGTTAGCGAAAAATTATAAAAAGAAGCTTCCCTTTTAATTACGTATGCCAGCTTCGTAACTGGCGTGAAGAAATTCCATTTAACTTCCTTACTCTCTCTCTCTCTCTCTCCAATCTTTGTAAAATATCTTGTGAGTCGACTGCAGTGTTTTTCTAAAACAATACCTCGTCAGTAATTGGAGTAAGAGGTCAATTTTTGCATAAACATTTAGATCGCGCCTAGCTTTGAATTTACGATCTCGCGGTTTTGTTATATCAAAAGCGTCGATTTCGAGAAGAAAAAATTTTTATTTGATTCTTTTTTTACAATGAATTATTTATTTTTTTACTTAATTTGAATGCTTTTTTCGTAATTAGTGTTTTTTCTACCTGTTTGATTATTTTATTTTGATTAATTTTATTTTGATAACTTGATTATTTATTCTTTACTGAATATATTTTTATTGCTTACTAAATTTATGTTTGTTAGTTTCACTATCGATTTCATTTATCATGAGGAGATTAATACAAATCTTTTTTTAATAATTTTCAGATTTTTTAGGCATTTACTTTTATTAATTAATTCTTTCCAATTACTTTTTTAAATATATTTCTATTTTTACAATTGTCTTTTTTATTATTTAATAAATTAAGAGAATTTTATGTTACAATTCAATTAGATTTTGTAAAATTTCTCTTTCTTTTTCCAAAAAAATATTTAATTCTTCCAGTTATTTTTTCCTGACCTTTTCTTCCCTCCTTACTTTTATTAAAAATTATGAATATAATTTTGTTCAAATTTATATACATTCCTCCCTCTTTTATTCACTTATTATTTATTATAATTTTCACACAATACAATGAAAAAAAGTAAATAAATTTATTTTTTGAATAAAATAAAAAATAAGTAAATGAATAATAAATATTTTCAAATACACAATGGAATTGGGTAAACAATGAAATACAAAACACTTTAAATTTCCTTAGGAAATAATGTCGAGACTTTATTTTTGTACACATAAATAATAAAAGTATCAAAAATAATATTTGACGAATAAATAAAATAATATTATTATTAATAATAAATACTAGAAACTAGACTATTTTCGATAGGCTCTATAAGGTCCTTGTGGCGATGTGTCCCAATGGGGTGGATGTTCAACAGGTGGATGACCGTAGTGTACGACCTCATAGGCAACTTTTGGTTTCGTTAATTTAAAAATAAGTAGAGCACCACTTAAAACTAGTGACAATAAGCCAAGTGTCAGAGCTTTCCACGTTTTCAATGCGATCAACGCCAGTGCCAATGGTACCAATGCAGTGGCCTTGAACTTGAGACCTAGAAGGAATGGAATCATGACCTTCTTGACGAAACCTCGACCTGTTCAAACACAATTCACAATATCAATTGCATTTCCAGCTGAAATCCAGTCGCCTTTTTAAATTCATTACATAAATTTGTAGTTAACTCATTATTTAATTGTCTCGCTAATTAAAACTGCTAACTACTAACCAAACAAATAAGAAAATTAATTAACTAGTCAATTAACCGTCAAAGAATTATTTAACTCTTTAATTAGTTATTATTTTTTCGAAATTATCACTTGGTAAAGAGTCAAAAACGTTGTGTTGTCGAAACGTTAAATGGAATTTTTATTTTATTTTTTTGCCTGTCTTGGATTAATTGATAATTATTAATCTTATAAATCTTTTATTAGTTATTTAGTTAAGAATGTAATTGACAAAAAAACTGAGTAGTTAATTAATTAACTAACTAATTAGGTGTAATTAGGTGTTTAAATAATTAATTATATTTTAAATAATTAGATAATAAATTCATTAGTTAGTTAACTAATTAGGTAATTAGTCAGCAATTTAATTGACATAATAATTAACTAATTAGATAATAAAAAAATTATTTATTGTTAGCTATTTAATTGGCTCATTAATTAACTAATTAAGTAGTCAATGGATTATTTAGTTAAAAATGTACAAAATAATTAACTAATTAGATAATAAATTGACTATTTAGTTAAATATTTACTTGAATAATAATTAACCAATAATTACATAACAAAATAATTACTTACTTATTTAGTCAAATAGTTGAGTAACTATAAATATAATTAATTAATTAATTAGCGTTTTCATCAACTGTTTAGTAAAGTAATTATTTGTTTATTCAATTAACTATTTAAGTTCGTATAAAAAAGCTTTATAGTTAATTACTTAAATAAATATTTAACTAACTATTCAGACAATGATTTAATTAATTATTTAATTATTGTTAAAATAAATTAAATTAATGAATAAAATGAAATAAATTGTTTATTGAAATATTTAATTAATTGTTTAATTAAACACTTAGTTGACTATTTAATTATTTAATTTACTGTTTCTTTAAATTTACTATTTATTGTTTTGTTAACTGTTAATTTTTTAATTGGTTACTTAAATTAACCATTTAGTTAATTAATTAAAGAGTTGTTTCATTAATTTATTAACTATTTAACTAATTACTCTTTTTAGTTTTTTTATTAACTAATAAGTGCATTAAACACAAACATACTTGAGTAAATAATGTATTATCTAATTAACTAGCTCATTATGGAACTAATTTTTGTAATCAACTCGTTTTATGTTAATGTTTTAGTTAACTATTGACTTAGGTGTCAATTAATTACCTTATTATCTAATTGATTAATATAATAAAACAATTCATTATTTTCTTTATTAATGAAAATAAATATTTAATTAATCAATTAATTAGTATTGTTAATTATTTAATTAATTATTACTGTTAATTATTGAATTAATAATTATGATAACTTGTTTATAATATACTTTACGCAATTAAAAAAACAGTTATCTAACTAACTATTTTAATTAATTATTAGTTTGTTAATTAGTTAATTGAATAAAATACTGGTTAATTAATTACTTAATTATTTAAATTAAAAATGTATTATTAATTAATTATTTATTTATTTAACTTATTAGAATAAATTAAATTAAAATTAAAATATAAATTATTTTTAAATTTAAACTTTTAATTTTTAAAAATTGTGGAATAAAAATTGAAAATAAAGTAAATAATAATATTGTAAATAATTAAGAAATGAAGAATAAAATGAGAAACATTGAATTTTCGGTGATTTATCTGTAAAGTGAAAAAGAAGAAGGAAAAGAAAGAAGTTATGATTGAAGGTAAAAAGATACTACATAATTAAAATACCAGGTGCAATTTAAAAGAATTAAAAAAAGTAATTCACGTACCTTGATTTTTGTCCTGATCACAGAGAGGAACGCTGACTTCCCTTGGAACTGAATCAATGAGAGTTCTGGGAACGATATTTGAGCCGACAATAGCTTCGGGTAATTTAGCTTCAATTCGATGACTGGCGAGATAAGCGTCCAATTTTTCCAGCATCAATGATCGAAGAAGATCTTTTCTGGTAGGATCAATTGCATCCTGAGAAGTGTAATATTCTTCGAAACTATTTTCCAAATCTGGCATTGATCGCACAATTGATAAGTCTTCAGTGATTGCGACTTTGTCCTCCTTCATCATTCTACTTAAATATGCAAGGACCTTTGGCTTCGCGCAGGATAATATCGAGTCGCTGTCCACGCATCTTCAAAAAAATGTTTTTTAACTCATTACAACATTTTTTTTATTATTTATTTTTTATTTAAAAAAATTTAATTATTTTTAAAAAATATTGTTTATTTATTCTTCTATTTCATCAACTGCAGCATTAACTATTTCTTCATTTTTTCGCATTCATCATTCATTCAAATTTATCTTTCTACATCTTTAACTATTTTTTTATTTATTGAAGTAAAATTTCTTCCTTCATTCAAATTACTTTGAATTTAATAAATTTGAAATTAAATTGTATATTTACTTGTTCAATTAATTGTTTAAATTGCCTGTTTTATTAATTATACATTTTATTAATTAATTATTAATAATGCCTATATATTAATGAATACAATGTAAATTGAAAATAAAAATTTGAATAAATGAAAAATTTTAATTTGAAATTTGAAAAATGAAGTTACAAATGTTTAATATAATTTATAAGATTTAGCTAAAGTTTTGGTTGGAGAATTTTTAAATTAAAATTCAGAATTTTTTTTTAAAAAATGCTTGGTTAGAATTTAGAAGTTCTGGGTAAAAATTATTTAATTAGAATTTTTAGTTAAAAAATGTTCGATTAAAATTTAAAATTTTTTATTGAAAATTGTTTAATTCAGCAACCGTCACGGAATTAAAACAAAATTAAAAAATACTTTTGTTTTGATTCGGATATGGGTATCAAAATCAAAATTCCATTCTATTTAGTTTTGATTCCAATATCAAAATTCTTTTTTGTTTTAATTTTGATAAAATACTACTGCGCATGTATAAGTCTCATTGAACCTAAATTTTGTTGCAAATGTCAAATATATCAGAAGATAATATCGTTTTTACATACGAAATCTGAAATAGAATTCGAATCGACTTCTGTTTCTATAAGAAAACCGAATTGCAGTATTATATCAGAATCAAAATAGGAAGTAAATTTTGTTTCGTTAACGTATCAGAATCAATATAGGAAGTGAATTTTGTTTTGTTACATTATCGGAATCAAAATAGGAAGTGAATTTTGTTTCGTTACAGTATCGGAATCAAAATAGAAAGTGAATTTTGTTTCGTTACAATATCGGAATCAAAATAGAAAGTAAATTTTGTTTCGTTACCGAATCAAAATCAAAATACATTAATAATTTCGTTTTGTTTTGGAATATCGTAACAAAATCAAAATTTGATTTCCGTGACGGTCCCTGGTTTAATTAGAGTAAAAAATTTTATTTGAGCAATTTTTAATTAGAATTTAGAATTTGGTTTGAAAATTCCTTGGTTAGAATTTAGAATTTTTTGTTAAAAATTATTTAAATGGAATAAAATAAATGTTTGATTGGACAGTTTTTAATTCGAATTTTTGTTTGAAAAATGTTTGATTAGAATTTAAAATTTATTTATTTAATTAAAGTTTCAAATTTTTGGTCGCAAAGATTTTTAATTAAAATTAGGAATTTCTAATAGAAATTTTAAAAATTGAATTTTAAAAATTTGCTACTCACCGGTAGTAAATATTTTGAAGGACCTCGGCAGTGGTTTCGGGTTCCTTGGCATTGGCCAATGTGACCAAAAGGGCCAGAGTAGTAATTAAAAAAACCCTCATGGTATGAGACCACCGATCAATCGATTTGCAAAGTTAAACACCGAATGCCCCCTCGTACAATGACGATCCGGTTTTATACGAAATGGGAGCTTGAAGACGTTTTGTGAATTTTGATGAAGAACGTGATATACAAAACGGAAAGGAAAGAAGAAAGCTCCTTTATGTAGGATGCTAATGTTTCATTGAAAGCCAGTCTCATATCGGAAGGAACAGATTAATTATCAAGAGTGCTATAATTATTAATCAATCAATCAATCAATTAATAAATCAATTAACAAATCAATCAATCAATTCGATATCAAGTATATTCACCATTATTTATCATTTTTAAATCAACACAAATTTTTCAGAAGATAAAAATTTCAATCCAGAATAAAGGAGTATTTGTAAGTCGAAGACTTTTCTGAAACAGGAAGTTCCTTTCTTTGAAATTTCATTTTTTGTTCTCTAAACAAAATTTCGTGCAAGAAAATAAAATCGAAAATAATATTTCATTTCATTAGAGTGTAAATTTTTTAATAAATGGTCCAATTTTCAATTTTGAAATTTTATTTTACGACTTTTTTAGTAAAATACATTGTTTAATAAATTGAATTGAATAGATTTTTAAAAAACAAGTTTTCGAAAATTTCTTTAAACTTTTAAGGAAAAAAAATAAACATAATAAGTTTTAATATAACTACATATTTTTTCTTTAAACTGCAAATATATATGGGGCAAATTTTCTCAAGTGTACCAATCTCAAAATTTAAAAATAAAAGTTGTCAAATCGGACAAATATTTCCTCAAACCCAGTAAGAAACGAAAAATTGAAAAGTATTAAAAAGATTCTATTCTTTTGAATGCCATTTCTGTCCAATACTTTTCTATCCAGTGAGAGCAATATAAATAGTAATGATATCAATCCTCTTGAATACCCAGTAAGAAAGCAAAGATTAAGAAGCATTAGAAAAATTCTATCCTTTTGAATACCATTTCTGCCCTATGCTTCTGAATTCCGCGACAGTAGTATAATAATATAATACTAATATTGTTCACATATACAATGTTCAATTACTTTCAAATAACTGCACTCATGAATTTATTTGCTATTTTAAAAAGGAATAATTATTAAATTATCAGTTAAGAGGGTTAAAAGTGTTTAAAGGTCTCTGAAATTTTTAGGTTATGATTTATTGTCTAACAGAATAACGGCCCTGACTCGTTTAAATGACGTTAAATTGGTAAACAATCAATTTATCAGCAAGTTTTTCTTTGAACACAAACACTTTTTACAAAATCTGCCACTGTATGTATCTTATAAATTACAAAAATCCAGAAGATTGCTTGAATGCATGCAGAAACGCGGTTCCAATGAAAAATTGAAAAGTGATATAATGACAGGCTGTAATAATTTCGGATGGGATTGGAAAGCATTCAGAAAAAAATTTTGTCTTTGTTAAAAATTACAAAAAGAATTGAATAGCATTCATTTTTAGACGAAACGTGGTCCTATCATGGTATAGAAAAGTATTGGACAGAAATGGCATTCAAAAGTATTGGATAATTTCTACTACACCATACAGAGTTTGAATTATTTCAATCCTTTTCAATTTTTCGTTTCTTACTGGGAACTTTAGTACTTAAAAAAATTCAAAAATATTTTTGATTTTAAAAAGGGACAAATTTTGAATTTTTCAAAAAATGCATAGGGGAGACCGAGGAGGAAAGTAACAACGCTTATAGCTTTTAAACAAATTAGCCGATATACAAAGTTAAAAAATTTTTTTAATCAGTAGTGCCCCCTACAACTTCTCCATAGTGTGCAAGAGCATTTCCGGTTAGGTTAGGTCCGCTAGTGATATGACGTTACAAAAATACGTCAAAAGTAAGTTTACGTTTAAATTTTCAAAACCTCATATTTTTTTAATTACACAGTTTTATAAAATGTGCGTTTCGTTTTTTTGAAGCTTAATTATCTGCCTTTAAGTTGTAACAGTGTATTTTTAAATTACGTGTAATACTTTTCTGTAATTTTAACTTTTTTGTTGAAAAATAGAGTAAGGAGGAAAGTAACACGTTGTTACTTTCCTCCTCGTTTCAATATTGTGCATACTTTATGAAATGAGTGAAGTAAATCATATTTAAAGTTACAGATTAGATTTTGTTTGTTAAAAATAATGAATAACAAGTAAATTGACTTTCGTTTTGACATATTAACGTAACTTAAAAATTATTTATTGAACCAGAAAACATTTTTATTCTGCGTTCATATTTTGTTTTATTTTATGTTTGTCATAATTGTTAATTTTTGCTTTTAAACTTTAGATAAAGTTATTTTTATGTTTTCAAAGTTTAATGTTTTATTTTTTATTTTGTTTAATGCCAAAAATATGAAACATGAAAAATTTGGCTACTTTTTACGGTCAGAATACTTTTTTGAAAAGTTTAAGTACTAGAACAAAAAACAAAGAAATTTTATAATCACAATGTAAACTTTATATTTTATAAAGAATTTACTGTTTATTTTTTGGCAAAAAATCGATTACTTTACTCAGAAAGTGCGCCATTTTTACAAGAATTAATATAAAAAATCCCATATGTGCTACCAAAGTTTATATTATATAGATCATTAAATTTCTTTGCTTTCTGTTTCAGGACTTAAACTTTAAAAAAAATTATGCTGACATTTTGGCTCGCATTTTGGTCATAAGAAAATAGTCGATTTTTACTATGAAATTTATCGCCGCCATTTTGTTATAAAATTTTTTTTTATTTTTCAATATGTATTTAACAAACTCTCCAAAAAGAAATCCTATTTCGTTATTATTCGTTAAATAGTTTGAACGCTACAATGAAAAAACTGATTTTTGTTACTTTCCTCCTCGGTCTCCCCTACACAATTGAAAAGAGAAATTTTAAAAAAATAAAAAAAAATAAAATAAAAAAAATTATATTATATTTAAAAATTTTTTTAATTTAAAATAAAATTTTTAAAATTTTACACTTGAGAAATTTTGCCCGATATATACACGAATGTCCTAAACTTTGTCCATTCAGGTCAAAATTGCAAAAGTTGTGTACTAAAATGAAGTAGTAAAGCTTTTCTTAAAACTATTTTGATATCACTTTCAGTTTTAATACTTTATCAATCAATTCCAAAGTTTAACCATGCAGGTCAAAAATTGACCTAAATCGAAAAAAGGGTATGGAGTCAAAAGTTCCAAACCAAAGTTCCAATTCCGAAGGACCCAAATTATTATTTTCCCTAATGACATATCGAAGGATTTCTGTATTACAATTATATGAAAAAATAATGTGAAATATTGGACATGCCTTATTTTTTCAAACAACTCCAATACTTTTAACTTATTTAACAACTCAACACATTTTATTTTGGAAATTTTTATTATGGAAATTTCATACTTTGAAAACCATTTTAAAATCAATTTAATCAGGTGTTGAATAATTTTTTAGCAAGCTACAAAAAGATATGCAGGAATTTACTAAAGAGCCTTTTAGGTTGACAACCAAAGTTTAGGGTTTTAGGTCAAAAAATTTTAAAATTAAAGACAAACGTTTTTTTAAATTAAGTACAATAAAAGTCGAACAAATTTTAGCCTTTTAGGTTCAAAATTGTGAAAGTAAAAGCCAAGAACATTTTTCAAAATTTAGTAATTTTATAAATGTTTTGAAATTGCTATTAAAATTAAATCTAATCGGATTCTGTGTAGTTTTTCTGTAATGTAAAAGTAGAAAGTAACCAAGTGTACCAAAGTTCACCCTCTTAGATCAAAATTTTTATAGGTAGGTAAAGAAGAAAAACATTTTTTTCCTAAATATATCTAATTTTTGAAGTTTCCTTTGAAACAACTATTGAAAATAATCCTAACCATGATGATCGCTATATTTTTCCTATAATCTACAAATAAAACTCTCAAAGTGTACCAAAGTTTAACCTCATTGGTCAATAACTGTTTACGTTAAAAGAAAAACGATTGTCTTCAAATGTTTAGTATTTTAAGTTTTCTTTTTAAAAACATATCGAATTCAATGCCTTATATTTTTTCCTTATATTTTTTCTATAATCTGCAAACAAAAATCTAAAGTGTACCAAAGTTTAGCCTTTCTCAGGTCAATAATTGAACAAGTTTATGAGGAAAAAGATTTTCTTAATGAATTCAGAATGTTTTCTTTGAAAAGGCTAATAAAATGGGGGTTGGGACAAGTCACACCCAGAAAGTCTCCCCCGGACAAGTCCTCCCATGGACAGCTCCTCCCGCAGAGGACAAGTCTCCCCAGGACATCTCTCCCCAGTGAAAAATTGTTTATTAAGACAGTGACAAATTCAGAACAAGTCTCCCCGGGACATCTCCAAAATGGCGCTAATTTGAGGAAAAAATTATTTAATTCTTTTTATGGTGCACCGATATTTACCATGGCTATGAAATCTAACAGAACTTAGTGTTTATATGTTTTTGAGGTCGCTCATGACGAATATATGTGGACGTCCACATGAAAAGGGCCCATTTTGGCACTATTGGAGTTATCTGTATGGGCGTATTCCTGGCAGAAATTGGAAAATTTTGAGTGGTCTTAGAACTTTTTTGGTTAACAATTCGCTGAGTTAAGGAATTTCAAAGTTTAGAACGCCAAAAACGTCATTTCGAGAAAAACGGAATTAAAGATTGCGATACCAACTAATTGTTGTATCTCTGGTTCTTCTTGGAAGTTATTCAGATAAGAATTGTTTCCAGTGCAGGGCACCTTGAAGATAAAAAACCAACAGGTTTTAAATTTTTAAAACCTTTTTTTTTTTTTTATTTTTTTAAACCCTTTTCTAAAAAGGAGAATTTTTCTATTAAAAAACCATTTTTTACAAGATTATTGATTAGGTACAATTTTATTGTGTAATTTGAAAAAAAGGAATATATATATTAAACTTATTAAAAATTTTTTTAACAGTCTCTATTATGAAAAAAATAACGCAATATCCAAATTTTCATTTCGACAATTACGAAAAAAAGACATTAACATCAATATCTCTGGTTCTTTTGG